TTGAGCTTCTCATCAGCCAACACCCCCAAGTCCTTCTCCTCAGGGCTGCTCTCAATCCATTCTCTGGCTGGCCTGTATTTGTGCTTGGGATTGCCGCGACCCATGTGCAGGACCTTGCACTTGACCTTGTTGAACTTCATGAGGATCGCACAGGCCCACCTCTCAAGCCTGTCCAGGTCCCTCTGGATGGCATCCCTTCCCTCCAGCATGTCGACCGCACCACACAGCTTGGTGTCGTCAGCAAACTTGCTGAGGGTGCACTCAATCCCACTGTCCATGTCACTGACAAAGATGTTAAACAGCGCTGGTCCCAATACCGACCTCTGAGGAACGCCACTCATCACTGGTCTCCACTTGGACATTGAGCCATTGACCGCAACTCTTTGAGTGCGACCATCCAGCCAATTCCTTATCCACCAAGTGGTCCATCCGTCAAATCCATGTCTCTCCAATTTAGAGACAAGGATGTCATGTGGGATAGTGTCAAATGCTTTGCACAAGCTATGGGGCATCCTGAGCCGAAGCCCTGACACTGGTGCTTCAAATACCCTTCAAACAAGATTAATTCTTTTCGCTGACTATAATGCTCAGGCTCTTGAACTGGCCAGCCACCTTAAAGGGGCAGCAGGCTGGCAGCATGGCATAATCTCCCTAACTGTCCACCTGCCTATGCTGTAAGCAGCAGCATCTATTCAGTTTGGCTGGGCTGACCTAAGCATTCCTAAGATAGAGCTTTGCATGTGGGCCAGTGCTTACATCCATAGAAATATATGGATTAGTCTTGAAATGATATTTTGATGATGAAAGACAAGAAAAAACTGTCTGGAAGAGGAATGACATCTTAAAGAACAAAAGGGATTTTAATGTACTTATTCCACTAAATAATTATATTGATGTTCCATGCTAAAACCCCCAGAAGTTAGAAAATACCAAAATTCAGCCCCACTCTACAGGCTAAATCCTGCTTTCAGTGCTTCTCTGAACTTCCATATAATCCTTTTTCTGGTATCTTCCATCTGACATGCCCATGAGAAGGAGTATTTGAAAACATATGGCCAAATATTAAATCTAGCATTTAGTACCCACTAGCACAAAAAATCCCCTAAGACAATGATGTCCTAATCTTGTCCACATGTGGACTGAAATATATACTATGGCTCAGATGCCACAGAACTTGCAACAAGCCAGATGTTTTGGTTTTGTAGCATGGCTTTCTGCAACAGTTCAAACCAGCACATTGTAATTCTAGATAAATTAAAAATTGCACTGTTCTGTAACTAAATTGGCCATTAAATATATAATTTATATAAATATATGGGAATCTCTTTCTATGTGATAAAGCTGTGCATGCAACATTGCTTGCATTATTTATTCCAGTATGGCCTTACATTTTTAACATTCCAGAGATCTTTGTACTGACAGCAAATAGCTGCATGAGAATATTGTCAGCAGGAGCTGAAAAGCTGCCACGAGGCACAGGTGGGATGGCATTTTATTGTAAACGTACTAGAGAGGATTTTTAGAATTACTTAGCACTAGCCCTCCTGCTTACTTAAATCATTATTATTGGAGGGGGCAGATAGAAATAGCTGTAGTTAAGGTTATCCAGCATTTGTCATTAAAAGAGTCAGCTTTCACTTGTTTATAACTGCCAGAATTATTTCTTTTAGGTTGCAACTTGCAGGTATGTGTATCTGCTTTAGGTTTCCTCTTACTTTTTCAAGTTCCAGCTAAACTGATCCAGCTAATAATGAGATTAACAAAAAATGTCTTGAGTTTTTCATGTTTGGGGAAAAAAATCTTCAGTTTATCAAAAATTTCTAATGCAGTCATACTCAGGAGCAGGATCTTAAAAATCTATCGTGGATACAGATATAGAAGAGGAGATAATTTCCCTTGTTTTTCCACTGCAATCTGGAACCGAATTCACTATTCCTAAGTCTCCTCTTTCTGCTGCCAGCAAGTATCTATGAAAATCACTGACAAAGCATATTCCTCTTCTAATGGCTTGTGTACACAGAAGATGGTAGTTTAGTGCTGCTTTGGATCTAAAGGATGCAGCTCTTCTGAGGAATTATGTATGGATCTGTATGATTCTGCTTAGTGTATTTCTAGACGACCTCTTGAGGTCCCTTCCAGCCTCAATGCTTCTGTGTTTTCCTAGCATGGTGGGCAAGACTTTTTTTTTTTGTAACTGAGAAATTGCATGTTTAAAATTTACACTAAGAAACCATTAAGGTTGCAATATTAAGCACTAAAAAGCTACAAAATACCAGACTTCTGGTACATAGACTTATCGTATTGTGATAACCATCCTTAATGACAAATGCAGAAAACACTCCTGTCTTATTCAGTGCGCAGTGGAGCTGGGGAAAGTCAGGTCTGTGGAAACAGATGGAGAATCTTGTCCATTTGCTGAAGCATGAGTAGTAAATCAGAAAGGGACTGTCAAGAAAGGATGGTCTTGTTCAGACAGTGAATAGCCATGGAATTCCTACTTAGGGCTTGGCAAGTCACTTGAATCACATCTATTACAGGTTACTAATATTATATTCCTTTCTCCATGGCATTTGCAACTGCAGCTGGAGCCATTGGGAACTTGGCTTTGATCATACTAAAGTGCTATAAATGCTGAGCTGGGTTCTGGGTGTTTCTTGTTAATCACCTATCACTACTAAATGACTTTGACATTAACATCTTTATATTCATTTCCCATTTGTAAGATAGGCAAACCAGTACTTTTTAACTTGACAAGAACATTCTGAAAATACATTACCAATGCCTACAAAGCACTTCGATATTACAGTAGTGAGTATCATGGGAAAATCTATGAGGAAATTAAAAATTTTATGTTCACAATAGGGTTTAAATACCGTGCAGCAGGCAAGGCATGACACTGAATTATGGAGAGGAAGCTATTGAACAAAAGCCTGCTTAATGAGCACTGACCATCTTGTACACTGAATGAAGCAAGACACCAATAGTGACTGCCTTATTAGCATGCAATGATACAATCAGGTGATATGTAATCATGTAATTAGGATGTAATGACAAATTTGTAATGCATGCATAAAAAGCAGGGAGCCTCCCTCCAATTTTTTATGCTTTCTAACTTATTTTAACATCTTTTTTTCCTTTGAGGAACACATCTCATTACTAGTGGACTTGGGCCAGTACGTCTGAAAACCTCTCCCAGTATTCCGATTCAATGGCAAACTGGCTGATAAAAACTCACCTAGTGAGGTACTGGTTCTCTGCCACCTCTTCACATAAAAAAACAGAGAAGCAAGCTCTGACAAACCCTGAAAGGCACAGTCTCCTGGAGGGACCATGATAAATCAGAATAATTGAGAGGGATATACTAGGGGTGTATCAGACCCTACCAGTCCCTGGTGTACAGGGCTACAGACCCAGTCCAGGCCAACAAGGGGCAAGTGTCTCTTTTGCAGCTCTTCAACATAGCTGTGCTCAGCACTTGCAAAGCTGCAGCTCAAGATTTAAGCCAATTCCACTGAAATGGTTAGCTGTGAAAAAGTTTTTTTAAAAGTCAAGATTTGGTTTCAGAACTAGACCTTTACAAATAGCCTGCTGTAATCTCACAATTTTGTCCCAGGCTATCTGGCTACAGCTTCATACTTCTTTGTGTTTGGAAGGGCTAGAAGTACAGTTATTTTAAATAAGACTCTGGAACATATTTGCAGGATGTGTTGTGGGTTTAGGGGTTGGTGTACTTTGCAGCAAGCTCTGCGGCCTTGAAAAACTCGGCATGCCTACTTAGAGGTCTGTCAGCAAAAGCTCATTATACTTCCAACTACAATTTGAACACCAGAGGGCACAGAATAAATTCAAGTTTTTCACTCTTAAACCTTGAGGCATTTAGAAATATAGTTCTAGAAAAGGCCTTAATTCTCCTGTCGCTACCTCACTATGAAAAAGGATAATGTAATTCCTAAGGAATGTACAAATTTGTGGAAACAAATAATAAACAACATAAATAAACATCCTCTCCCACTTTACAAATGTAGCTGATGTTGCACTGCAATTAACAGCACGCAACGTTCACTTCTAATAAACATTGAGAACGAAAATTACTATAAAGGCAATTTTTCTCTGTGCTTTTGCCTTTGGCTCTGTGTAGCTTCTTAATACTGAGGAACAATCAGGCTGTACAATACCCTGTGGCATTTCCTGATGATATTCAAAGGTGATTCTTTTGACTTTGTACTTGGGAACTAATATCATCTAAGTGTGTCTATACAGTGGCCATCTCAGGAAGAAAAAAGCTGAAGTGGAAGAAAGGCTATCACAAAAATACTGTCCCTATGCAAAGCACAAAACATGTTTTATGTCGTTTTATTGCACTTCCTTCTTTTTGCTTCTCACAAAGCTACCAAGTAGGAAAGCAAGCTATTGGAGTCAGATCTAACACTCACTGAAGCCATCAGAAAGACTCCTATGCAATTTGGAAGCTTTCACATGACGATGCTAAATTACAGACGGTCAATTATTTTAACCTATACAGAACAATTTCCAATTTTGTGGGATAATGAATATCTGTATCTTCAGCATCCCAGCTTCGAGAATACATGACTCAGGGTTTTTCTTTGAAGAACAGTATATATATGATACAGTTGTATGTTTTCCAAGTAATAACAAGAAAAGTAGCCTGTGTGCAGCGGAATCGGAACTAGAGCAAACATTTCTATCCTTTAAAAAAGAGGAATTAACACTCTTAATTTGATAGCTCTAGTGGATTTATCATTAAACCCATTAGTAAATTTATCAATGCATCTATCATTGTGGACCTTCAAAATATTGCACACCAGAATCCTCTATGCTTTATTTGTTTTGCTTTACAAATTTAAGCCTGGATTACAGTGATCCCTCACTTTTCTGCATCCATAGGAAGGTAGAAAAGTTAATACCATTTTGCTAACAGGGTTACTGCCAACATTCTGTTATTCAGTCCCTCTTATCCATCCCCAAGTACACCTTCTACAGAAAAACCCACATTACTAAAATTACAAATCACCTTTGGCCAAAACAAGGTTGATTTCTTGGCTTCTGGAAAATAACAACAATGCAGAAAATAAGACATTTGGGGGCATTTGAAATTTAATCTTCATCTACCTACATTTGCAGTCCTTCTGGTTTTTGGCAAGTTCAAAGCCAGGCCTACATTCACAGGCAACCCCACCTTTGGGCGTCTCCCGGCAGATGTGTGCACACCCATGATCTTTGTTCATACAGTTCATACCCTCTGTAAAAAAAAGTAAGAAAAATGGAAAATATTAGTACTGAAATAGAATTACAAAATAATTACACACATCCAGTCCTCCAGTAATTTTAGCTGTAATTTTTATTTTGCATCTGGACTGTGTTCCACAAGGCAAAAGAACGCAGTTGAAAAGTGGTATACAATGAACAAAGTGTAATAAAGGACAAACCTCCTCTGGGGCAAATACAACAAGTACTACTGTGGGATATAGGGTGTCCCTGCTGCATGTAGAAACCCAGGACTTGTGATTTCCCTATTCCATATCCATATTCTAATCTTTCATGAAAATATAATGGATTCAAAGCTGTCTGTCCCACAGGCAATTATCAGAGTTGAATAACTGAGCTCACTGTTATTTTTTCCATGTATAAATTTAATGGTTGTTACTGTCTGGTGCATTTTTATTTGCCTGTTAATGTGCTTTATATTCTCGAACACACAAAATCTAACAAAGATTATATCTGAGCATTTTTGCTTGGATCTGTTTCTTCGCTGTTTGTTATACATCTCAATTATCTGTGTCATCCACCATAAGCGCAGCCAATCTCCAACAAACCTACTACCACTTTTCTTTTTGACTATTTTAAACAAAACATACCAGCTGTTCAACAAACGTCCAAGTGCCATGGGTGGATTCCTGTTAATGTTTATGCCAAGGAGCAGTATCAACCAGCTTCCTCTTATTCATCATAGGGCCAATTTTAGCTTCCCGAACCACGTAAGTGATTCAGATACTGAATGCGCCTTATGCTCTTAGAGGCCTTCATTACTGAGTTAATTCAAATCCCACATATTGACAGAAATCTTGAACTCAGCCCTTATGGGTCAGCATCTAGCATTCCTTGTGTGAACGAAGGCTAGCTAGATTTGCATTACAAAGCCTTCCCAGACTTCCCCTTGGATATCTGACCTGGAAAGGAGAAACAAATTCTCTCAAAGTACACTGACAGAGAATTCACAGCATAACTCGGCTTACTACTGTGAAAACAGCACGTATTCCCCAAAACGTGGGTGCATGCAACATCAGTGTGGACTCAGCAGCTCATTTGTCACTTTGTAACGCGGCTACTCCTACTTATTCTAGGCTAATTTCTCAAAACAACTCCAGTGTAAAATGTTCAAGTTAAACCTACAGTGACGACGTACTGTAAATAAATGTTTTTTTCAGGGCTGTTGCAAAGTTTTTGCTTCCAAAGGTGAAAACGATCACTGCCCTCCCTTTTTATTCTTACAGAAGCTACATGAACGCACTCGCCACCTCCAGCATGTACACACACCGCCTTTAGGCTCAGGCTGGTCTCACGCTATCAAATACTTGAAACCAAGCGTCAAGGCTTTACGATGAATTTGAGCAAAAGTTTCTCTGCATACAGAATAGTTTTTAATTGAACACAAATAAAAGGATTAGCGTGTAAGACAGCTACTAAGAAACTTTGCGTACAAAATTCTGAGGAGGAAATGCTGCAGGAAGTCAGTCAGAGATTCCCTCAGGTTGGCAGAAGCTAACAGCTTCAGGAGTTATTTGCACTGCTCGACTTTACCTCAGAAAGGTTTATATTAGCAGAGCAATGAAAAACACACATCACCAGTCCAAGTGGGTATTTGTGTTCATCTCTCCTACAAAAAAATATCAGGATCTTAAATCTCACTGCCTATGAAAAACAGCATTATAGACAACAGATATATTTTGCTCTTCTAAATTCCCCTCTGTGTTAGCCTTGATGAGTCTAAAAACTTGCCAAAGAACAAAATAAGTTATTCTCTGTCAACTGCAGCCTGGTCAACAGATGCTATTGGAAGATATATAATACATACCATACCATACCATACCATCCTATACATGGAAGTGAGGTATGAATGTTTTGTTTGGGTAAACGGACATAAGAAACCTGGGAACGGCCTTATTGAAGGTTTTGAGGCATTTTATAATCTCTTTCTCTCCACTTCTCCCAACAAAGGATTTCAGACACAATGTGTTTGACAAACTGCATTCCTGCGCACTACGCTATGTTCAGAAAAGGATCTGGGAAAGATAACACATGCCTGATTGAGTCACACTGCTGAGGCAATGAGAAGAGAGGAATTAGACAGATAAAAGAAGATATTTAATGGCTCAGAAGTGTAATGAAGCAAGTGGTTTTCAGTGTTTACTTACAGATACTGAATATCTGCCATTGTTAAAATCACTTGGAAAGACAGAAATTGTGCACTGCTAAAAATATTGGGAGAAATCGAAGATCAGAATTATTACATTCTGAAACAAAAGTGAAAGACAAAGCAGAATTTTATGCTGGTATTTGTGTGTAAGACCACAACATTTCAGTTACTGTATTAATCATTTCAGTTACTGTATCAGGTAGTTGGAGCTGTAGAAAAACTATTTCAGTTCCATGTTTAGCTGGAGAAGAACAACACAGAAATCTCATAAGCCTGAAAACCATTATTTCAGGAAATTTAAGTTTTCCTGGTGAAGTGAAAGATGATCATTTTTCAGTCAAGAGTAGGAACTCATCCACAACGAAACTTCTCATTTATATTTTAGTATTTTTCAAAATCCCTAAGAATTAAATTTCAAAAAATTCCTAAACAGAATTCTATTTAGGCCTGAAAAAATTATTTAAATAAAAATGCAGCAAATAAATATTTTGGCTTGTTTAAAAATGTAATCTAAACCAAATTTGTGTTAACTTGCAAATAGTTTTAATTATTCCAAATTTTAATTTTTCAGCAAATGCAGTATTTGGCCAGATGTCTTCTGTATCAATCTACGTACACAAATGATTTATGAATCATTGTTGATACATAAGATTTACTTTTTTTTGCAAGCTGACTCTTCAGACAATACTGAACCTTTTATGATATAGCATATAAATGACACAAAAAAATACAAAAATATGCTAAATACCTTCCTAATACTAGTTTAGTTGCTATACAAATGCATATAAATGGGAGAGAAAAATACTCCTAAAATGACTCTGTTCAGTATTCTCTTTAGGAGGATGTGGTCCAAACTCTAAAACAAACTAGAAATACATAAAACACCTCACATATTTCCTATACTGGAACTGGATGGAATGCACTGCCGGTAGTAAAATAACTGCTCTGCTGACTGCACACCACTCTGCTATCAAAGAAGTAGTAAAACGTCTTGAGTTATCATCTCCCCTCACCATCACCTCCTGAGAAACAAAGTTTTGCCTTATTTTAGTTAATGTTTAGCAGCCACCTAATGTGCACATGCTTTTTACATAAGGAGCCAAGAGTGTGAGTAACAGCACGGAAAAAATTCCCCTGATGTTAAGGGGGATGTTTCTTAAGCATCTCAGTGCCTGCCTTGGCGTTCAGCCTCCCTCAGCCCCAGGACAAAGACTGACCCAAAGGGGAGGCGGGCAGCGTGCTTCCAGACCCACTGGCACTGCCATGTGCAGGCAGGCAGGAGGCTCCTCTCCCCAGTGATGGGCAGCGCACAGCTCCAGCAAAAACGCTGTGTTCCCTCTGGGGGTGACTAGCACAAGCAAGGCCAAACAGCTCGATTCGTAGAGATGGGTGGAAAACTAGTCATTGAGGTAAAAAACACGATCATGGAAAAATTGGGTGGGATTCTGCTGCTCATTTAAATGTGTTTGAACAACTTCTCTTAATCACCATAAGCCCCAACTCAGCAGAGGGGCCCCAGCACCGAGTGCCCTGTGCTTCACGTGTTGCTCCTTCCCAGAGCTGACCAATGTAATGCAGAACCAGGGAAGAGAAGGGAAACACCTATGGAATTATTCTAGGCCTTTCCCAAGACAGTACAGAATTATGCCCACAGCAGTTTTACTTCAGTATGTTGCACAGACTGGGCAAAATATCAGGCAATGGATCCTCCACCCGAGCCTTAACCAGAAAGTATTTGCAGAACTACATCTTCTACTACACAGCCTTGTGGCCCCCCTCCCTCCCCTGTTGTGTGGGCAACTGCATCACTCTGGTTTTGAACACAAGGAGTTGTTCTTAGCTGCTTCTCTTGATTTTTGCAGTGATCAGTGTGTGCCAGCTTCTAGAACCGATGGTCGAGTGAAAAACCATAGTTCCCAAATCAAGGGAAAGACTAAATATTGATAAAAGAGAAGTCTCTACACCAAAGAATCCTTACTTTATCGTCATGACACTAAAATGTCCAATGTTGAAAGGTTCTAGGTTTTTCATGTTAACTGTTAATAAAAGCAGTATCTTAATTTAATATGCTGCTACTCAAGGTAGTCTCTAAAGCCTAGCACAAAAATGGATGCATGTTCTCTTTGGCAGTGCTGGCAGACAGTAAAATAAACTTTTCAAACACAGACACATTCTCAGCAAATTCACCTTACAAAAAGACAGCAAAACAGAATCCAGTGGAAAATATATTGTAAACAGGAAGAGAAATGCCACTTAAGAAAGGAAAACACTAATCTAATTAAACTAAATCCTCTCTCAGTGTTTTAGATATGACTTGAGAAATTCTCTCCTATTGCATTCCTGGATTTTTTCTGACTTTCAGTTACAAAAGATTGTTCACGGGAGACTGGCAGACATTGTTATATGACCTACAATCCACGTTCATTTTTGTTCCTGGCCTAGGAGAGATTTGGGTGTAAGTCTACTACATTAATCTAGTCTGCCATCTAGTTATCACAAATCCCTTAATAGTGCTGTTCTGCAAAATGTTCAGTCTGATACAATGACCTCTCCATTGTATTATGCTCTAAAAATGTTTTCAGCTCAATGGCTCTGAAAGTGCTTAAATCAGGCTGACTGTGACAACTAATGTACTGATCAGCCTTTATTTTTCATTAACACTGCCTGTTCTCATCTTAATTAAGACTTCTAGCAATTATTTTACTTCGTGGTTCATCATATATGCTTACATGATCCTCTATGTGGTCATAATTTCACTTACTCTGTATTTATATTGCTGCTATTTTTTATAACTTCCAAATAATCATGCAGATTCCAAACACCAT